CATCATCACCAAGCTCTGTGTCTAGTTGTAAGAACAACATCGATGCTCGAGTGACTTCGGCGGCCTGGATCGCAAAACGCTCTCCAAACTTGGGTTGGAGGGAATACTCTCGAGGACTAGGTGTTCAACTCGTGCATATTGTACTCGGCATCAATAATAGGCAGTATGGGGTTTTGCGGTTACGACCGAAGATTCGGCTATTTGGGTAACCTAGATCGGGTTGAGCGGGCAATTCATTAATGCGCTGTCTTGACGAGTGGCTGTGACTAACTGGACTCGTTCGATATCACTAAGGTCTTGGGTGGCGGCGGGCCGCAGTCGAATGTTCTTCGCGCGGGATACGAATAGTATTGGACGGGTCGTATTAGCTTATCCCAACGCAATAACCGACTACTAAGAAACATCCCGGAAACATCATTTCTCATTTCTTTCGGACACGTGTGAATTTGCTACCATTTCCTCCTGACTTGCTAGACTTGAGCGACTGATGGACCGCCTCAGACTCTCCAAAGCTGTCGAAACCTTTGAGGATGCGCAGATCTGGTTCGCCGAGCATGCCCAACTTCTGCGCCAGATCTTCAGGAACGCCAGGCACTGCGCTCATGCCAGTAGAACGAAGTACGCCGCTGGCGATGGCAATTATCTGTAGGATTAACGGGAAGGGTTGTCGGAAGGGTTCACCATTATAATTCTGATACCATATATGATGTTTTATTGAAAGCAATTTGGAATTGAAGATATTAGGAAACCACGAGCCAGGAGAAGATTACTAGCCCAGCAAGGTTGGAGTGTCGCTTCACCTGGCTATTGCGCAACTTCGCCCTGCTGGACTTGAGATGGGCCAAGAGCGAGCTGAACATAGTCTCCGCCTGATGCAGCATCGACGCGTTACTCGATGCCCATCCGCCTGAGGTGGAACTCCATTGTACTGAGTGGCCAGCAATCGGTACCAGACAATGCGGTTGCAGTTAGATCGTTGGTGTTGAGGAGCCATTGGGGATCCTGTAGAGCTCGAGGTAAGGGCTTGAGCGGGATGGAGTGGCGAGTGAGGTCGGATACAAAACTGCTCTCTTCTCTAACAGAGGGGACTTTATTATTGGTCGGAAAGGAACGCCATACTCTGGTAATAGGAGGACTGCCATGCCCTCCTTCCCAGCCCGAGCAGTACGGCCGACTCGGTGCACATAGGAGTCTACATGACT